CGTCGAGTGCGACGGTAAGAGCTACATCCAGCTGGGTGCGGTGCCGGCGCGGCGAGAGCGCTCGCAGTTCTACCGGTACCAGAGGTTCACCGCGCTGCATGCCACGCTGATAAAGCTCAGCCGGCATCGGCGCACCATGGACCCGCTCCTGAGGAAGTCAGTGCTGCTCTTCAACACGATGAGGCACATCGAGAGGGAGTTGGAACAGGAGGGCCTCACTCTGGCGGCTGCCTTCAACCCGCACCAGTTCGACAGCGGTCCTCTAACGCTGGACCCGCCGCCGGTGCACTCTCCGCCGCCGGCGCCGCCGACACCGCCCCCGCCGGCGCCGCTGCCGCCGCCGCCCTCTGACGAGATCAACTGGGGCTCTGTGCTGAGCCTGGGCAGCCAGCCGGACATGGAGCTGCTGCCCTGCGACCCGGCGCCGCCGACACCGCACTGGCCGCTGCCGCCACTCTCCGCAGACGACGTGCTGCGATCGGTGCCCGAGCGACGAGACGACCTGTCGCCGCCGCCGGCCGACACGGTCTCCCTGCTGGCGCTGTAGCGCCGCCCGCGCCACCTGGCGCCGCAGCTGTGATATTGGAGTACCTGGGTCGACCGCTCGGCGGCGCCGCTGTCGCGTCGCTCGCTCAAACGCGCCTCCGCATGGCAGTGTCAAACCGGATAGTACAAATCGGCTCGCGCACGAGCGCACGCGGTGGGGAGGCGGGTATCGGACTGGGGCGGCGGACCCATTCCAGCGGACATTATCCAGTCGTCACAAGTGTCATCGAGCGCACACAATCATGACAGGTCGCTCAAATAGGCTCGATCCGACGGTGCTCACAAATGACGTTGCGATGTAGTGGTTAGACGTGTTCAGCGCTGGCAGCCGCTCCTCAAGCTATTCGACTCATGATCATCCAATGCGGAATATATTAAGACTCATGATAGGCGTGGCCTTAGAGTCAACATGTTCATAACGTCGCAATAGTCAGCAGTGGCACTCAATTTGCTGAAATTTTCTATAAGTTTCTCAAGTGTTGCAGTTTCAGTGAGGCACAGTTTGGCCATACGTTATGTCGACTCAAACTCATTTTTATTGCCACAAATGTCTGAGATTGCTAATCAATATTTGAGCATCCAGTGTGCCAATGACTTGAGCTAAAAATATGAAAGTCACGACTACGGGGATTGTATTGGCGACCGAGCTATTTTGCTAAGTGAGTTTTAGTGTTACGTGTTGTACTCTTCGTGTCGCAGACAGAAGTCTGGGTGTCATCGCCATTATGTATTTATTTAGCAGTGCGACTGTCCAGCCGTTAAGCGCGTAGGGTCACCGTTTCAGATTGCATGATTCCTTTCCGGGAGGGAGAAGTTCATCAGATGTGTATCTATCGCTATTGGGTCCGCCCCTCGAGGCCGATCATAAGAGCTGCGCATACTTCTGTCTCAGCCATGTCTTGGGGAAATGTCATAATGTCTGCGTCTTCATCGCCTCTCGCTGTGCCGTCGGCAGAGCTCGAATCAAAGGCCGGTAGAGTTAGAGATTGGGCGGCGGTGTGCCTGCCGACCGCTCCTCTTCAGGAGGTCCTCGGGCTGCTCAGCTCGCTCAGAGAGACCGCCTGCGGCCGGCGGTTCGTGATCACACCCACTCGCGTCGGGGGACGCGATTTCAAATCATCCAACATCCAGATTTATATCGTGTTTTGTACTATTGTAAATATTTGTATTCCGTTTCGGAATAAACGTGAAATCGTGAATGCAAATCAGACTTTTTTCTCTCTTCTTCTGACGCGAGAAGCTACTCAAACCCCATCGCGCCACTGAGATGCTGCACCACGTTAAATACCACACACCGTACGTTAACGATTTGCTTGAAGATAGCCCTAAGGCCTAAAGCATCCCGTATGAACACTCCACGCATGTACAGCCCACCGCTAAAGTAATGTGTGGTTTTACCAATCTCAACGGATGGCTTCGACCGACGATTTTTAAAATGCGGACTGATTGAAAAGAAGACGTCAATAGATAAAGTTGTAGCTGCAAGGGTGAAGATACGTGTAAGCTACATTTAAAGTCTCGTTGCAGTTTGGCTAATCGTTCCTAGGCTTCAGAAGCAGAACATACCCATGACTGAAACCACACATTACTTCTGCTGTGGACTGTACAATTGTACAAGGCAAAATAAGGCAAGATAATTGTATTTGACCGTCACTTGAGTTGGGACGCACACGTCAGTGACGTGGTTCGCCACTGTACCGGCCTCCTGATCGGTCTCCGCCACTTGAGGCATTTCCTCCCGCAGCACGCACTGAAAACTATTGTTGAGGGGTTGGTCATCTCGCGCGTGAGATACTGCATATCCGTTTACGGAAACTGTTCTGCCGACAACTGTACCAGACTTCTCAAAATTATTAACTTCGCTACAAGAGTTATTACCGGCCTCAAAAAGTACGACCACGTGTCTCGCGCGCGGGATGACCTGCACCTCACATCGGCCTCTGACATGTACCGGGTCGCAGCGGTGACCGTCGCGCGCGGTGCCATTGCGCGCGGTGAGCCGACCGTCCTCGCCTCGCTGTTCACCACGAACGCGGGGTCGCGGGCCAGTGGTGACCGCACCACCCGGAACGACCGCCGCCTACGGCCACCGGTTACACGCACTGCGGCTGGGCAGCGTGCCTTTTCATACCAAGCGACCGCGCTTTTAAACCAGCTGCCAGCTGCCCTTTTAGACCTCGATCCCGGCAGTTTCAAGAGAGCAGTGAAGGCGTTCTTCTGATTGACTGACGAGTGGCTGTGATTGACGGTAGTGTGGTTGCATATGGAGTGTGTGTGTCTGTGTGCGTGGCGAGTGTCTGGTATATGTATAGGTGTGTGATTTGACTTTTTATTGTCTTTTACCCTGACGTATGTTTTTTTTTTTTACTCGCAATGACTTTAGACACGGAATAGCCACAGTGTATGTGGAGTGTCTGCCTACGTCAATACATACATATACATACATACATACAAGTGCTTCGTGAGCTCTAACTTAAATTCTCCAATAATTGAGTAATGCCGTATATATAAAATGCGTGCCCTCATCCTTCGCCAAAATTACATGCTTTTATGCGTGTTTTATATTGGGTCTGGTATAAAAGCAAATGGGACCAGCCAATAACGGTTCAACGTCACTGATGATCGCAAATGTCACGGAAGACTGTCATTGTGACACATCTTTTGTCTGTACCCATTTGCCGATGCCCTGGGCCCCTGATTATAATGCACTTACTATCATTATTGAGCCATACTACGCCTAGCCCCGTATGAGTATCACTTTGATAACAAGGAATGATGGCCACTGGTCATGACAGAGCACGCACCATACTCAGAATGATTCACCCACTACTGGCATTCAGACGGAGATCTGGCTGAAGTCCGTGATGGTGGTATACTGCTGTCGATCGGCCTCGCTCAGTTCGGCGTTCCCCGGCCTGATGGCCAGATTGACTCTCATGCCGGCCTCCCTCGCCGCCACAGCTTCTGCAAGACGTCGACAAAATGCAGTATAGAACAGGGCTTACAGACTTACAGCTTTTCGGCAACAAAGTGAATCAACTGATCTCCTACCGATGTAAAAGACAGCTAGCATACGGCTGTTCGAAAGTCACATCCAAAGCACTCTCAACTCAAGTCGGAATTATGGACGAGAGCTCCTTATGGCATTCAGGGGCAACTTCTGCGACATGCTAGCATAAGATTTTCACCAGACATTAAAGAAGAAATTAAGGTCCCATTATATGATTTTTAATGTGCATTGTACTATATTGACGAAAATGAAGCTTTGCTAAATGGTAATGAATATTAGGTCTGAGCAATACATGAGCGGTTTTTGTCAAACACAAACCATAAAACGAACGGATATCATCAAAACAAAACAGATATCGATCTGTTGTCCACTATTCTTTTCTTCGTTTTTGTATGCCATCTTCCTGACGGGGATCACCAAAAAGCTGTCACTGAAATCAATTTAGTCTGTCAGACACATCAGACAAAGCAGATACCTTTTAAAATGTCGGTGACGAACAGAATCTGTTCTGGACTGCTGCCAATGGCGGCTGCAATCTTGCGGTAGCTCTCCACTTCAGTCTTTGGCCCGGTGGTCGTGTCAAAGTGACCACTGAAGTGCTGAAAACGATTTACAGACACCAAAACATTAGTGACTCATGCACAATATATTATGTTAGCACTGGTTTATCTCATTGCAACTGCGAAAAAAATGTTTTTTTCATGTTTAGCAGTGCTCCCGTCCCGCACTGTTAATTAAACCATATACAAGAAAACATGAATGAAAGGAAGTATAAGTGTAAAAATGTTGCATGAAGTCACTGACCAGAACCGTTTCAACAAATACTAACCTTCAACAGCGAACCGTGTTCTGTGTGGCCAAAGAGCAGCTTCTGGGCGGCGATGCTGCCCGACGAATAGATCCACACAGAGATATCCTGTCGGTTCCATTGCTCCAGTGCTGCAGGCACATCTTCATAGACACTGCAAATGGGCCGGGCAGGATTTGAGGATCATCGGCTTTCGATTAGGTCAGCTTACAGTACTTGCAGAATGCGCGTTGATGAGGTGAGTCGGATAAGGGCATCATACGGAGATGATACATCAGCAGTATGTTCACAATGCAAAGTCAAATGGCGATTAGCGCACTTGCAGTGTCGTTGTACAGAAGTCTGTTCTTGAGTCCTCGAACACAAGGCTGAGCTGGCGAATCCCTTAACTATGTCATGGCTTTCCATTGAAGGTCATACCTACCTTACTTAACTGTTTCGATAAACGTTATTGCAAAACCACTTATACATGCGATGCATCAACACAACTATAAAAACTATGTCATGTAATCGTGCATGATTCAACAAAACTTGGTTAGCGAGTTTTTCTCAAGGGAAAGTGAAAAATAAAACTTTTACTTATCTATATACTTGGCATTTTAAGCGGAAAACAGGAAAACGGCCCACTATTAGATCTCACCTGTGATATGTGATGACAGTCAGCGGCATGCATCACTCGGCAACTTCACTGTGCTGCTTCCGGACGCTGTTCAGGCCACCCAAAGCGCGGCTGGATAAACGTCGACGGCATGTGCTCCCAAACACACACGTGCGTTGCTGAAGTCGACGGTCATGTCAGCATTCGAACGTCTGTGCGACTATTTTTGCATGCAACATCAATTGCATATGCGACTGATCAGGCCGGATCTCCAATGCACCCAAAATGAGGCACCCACTACAGGCCTACATGACCATGTTTATACGAGTGCGGAGTCCAGGGCATCGATAAATCGATTTAAGTCTAAAAATACGAACTAAAAAAATCAAATAACGTTCTTTCTTACAATTTTGCAGTGTCAATTGGGCAAGTATTTGGCCACGACGTTATGCGACATAGATGGAACTTATAGGTAACCTCATTTGAGATAACAGAAAGCTGAGAGCCGAAGTCCACTTTACTTTACAAGGAAAGCTTAAGTAAGGTAAGTAAGTTAGGTCCAGGAGAGGTCGCATCGTGGTGATGTTGAAGCTGCCTATCCTTTTCAAAAGTGTGAATTTCTTATTCTGTAGAATATGACTGACTGGAAAGCACATCTAACATATGAATTCATGATCTGATGTGATAAAGTTGCACTACGGAAGAAAAATTTGAAGTGAAAGCAAAATAAAACAAAAAAGGCATAAAAGAAGAATTAAACTAATCCACATGGGGAAAAAATCATAAGTTTTAACTTTTATCGGTGCCGCACATATCTTCATTGGCGTTTCCAACACGTTAAAATGTTTTGTTTGGCATTACAGATCATTTGCTCACTTGACGAGTAGTGTGTAAGTTAAAAGCAACAATAATCACCACTAAATCGTCACATCACTTTTCGAGGAAAGCTTGGAAATTGTTGGAATACATGCAGCATGCAATCAAAGATTGATGCAGGCAGTTGCCACTTCCTAGTTGCTACGCTGTAAGTCATCATAACATGCAAAAGCCCTCGTTTTTAATTTTCATCGGTTTAGAAGTCTTCCTAATCAGTTGTTACATACAGATCCAATGGAACTCACTGTCCAATAATGTGGCCGTTAAGGTATCCCGCTCTCCAGATGAGTCCCTGAAGGTGCTTCAGGGCAGTGACTTTACGGTCGGCATCCATCAGGGACAGCACGTACCGACCGATACCCTCTCGCAGCAGGGCAGGGTCTGATTCAGCTGCTTGCAGTGCCACGCCGTCGGCAGACGCCTGTCAAAAGACAAACAGTCGGCTTATCCGTCAACCGATACATTTACTGTGTAATAAGCCGACTAATCAAACGATGGTGTCGATGAAATCGAGGTGAACGACTAAGATTTCCCAAAGGCAGGCGCATTGGGGGTCCGGTAGCCGGAGTGAAAAGTACATAGATGTCGCCTACAATAGATTCACAGATGGCGCTCGAGACAGACCTGCTGCCCGTATTCCGATCAGACATTAGCCCGGTTGGCGGTTAGCGGTACCGATTTCCGATTCAGCAACCGTGGTGCAACATCCGAATAGACATCAGATCTGCCCGCCAGAAACAACCAACAAATAATCTTGAATCTTAAAAAACATCCATTGTGAGTCAAGAATCATGGGCTGACAAGGCCAATTCAGCAGGCTAGATAGTTCAATAATTGCCTCCAGATGGCAGAGGAAGCATGGGATAGAATTGTTCAATGTCCATTCACTTTCTATCAGTTCACCTGTTGTTGACTAACAAAGTGAAAGATCAAGTAATTTGGCCTATAGCACCAAGATATACCTATGATGTCCTAACCAGCACATTTCTCTACATACCTGATCCCTTAGGAGGTTGATGATGGTTGTACAGTCTTCTGAACCCCAGTGCTCAGCGAGAAAAGAATCTAGATGCTCCCTTGCATATGGAAACAATATATCCTGCAAGAGTCATTCAATGTCAACAATGACAATTTCAAACTGCAACAGGCACATACAAATGTTATGGTTGACACTTCTCATCAAATGACATTGAGCATGTCAGATGTTTTTAGCATGTTATTGTAGAATTTGATACCCAAGCAATAAAACAAGCATAAGCATTGAGCAATGATGCACCATACAAACCTTCACAAAGCTGATGGAAGTTGTTGTCCCCTCAATATCCAGGACAATAGCATTTAACTTTGAGGCCATGTTCATTAGTTTTCACAGGACGAAACAGCTGAAGATAATATGAACATAAGCAAATGTCAAAAGAATCACGCTTGTTTGTGTTGTGCAAGACACTGTGAAACGAAACAAGGAAATAAACCTGAAAAGGTGCAAAAATGTCAACATGGAAATCATTGATGCTCCATAAGTATTTTAATTTCAATTTGAAATTTGGAATTTGTTAGTTAAGTCTGTTGAATGTCAACCGCAATTCAATTATTTCAATTTATGAATGACCATAAGACTATTCTTCTTTATCCCAAGTGAAAAAATCCCAGGCGAAAAACACATCTCCCAGGTCAAAGTATGCAGCTATGCTGATGCTCTCAAGTCTCAACAAGCTCAGTCATGTTCTACAAGTAGCAAAGATAATAAAGCATTGTATATTCTGCTCGATACAGTTTTGATTGAAAATAATCAGCGAGGAACACTTGATATAATTCAAATTAATTTCTAGAAACAAAAAGCACCACGCAACAAAAAGAACAACACGTGAAAATGGCGCTCGTCTTCTTGCGCCAGATATGCAGCGAATACCAATATGGTAGCAATGGAAAAATTATGTGACAGTAAAGAAATAGCCTGCAATCGATATCATTCACAACCAGCGTCTCAAATGCTATAGCTGAGGTCATATCCAACTTTCAAGAGTATGTACATTGTACGGTTGGACACAGTAGCGGTGGAAGTTGGAACACCTTCAATTAAGGGGGGAGGGCACTGCCGACTTTTGGTCCCATTCTTTTCATGTGCAAGTGCAACGCCCATAGGGCTAATGTTGAAATGTCAAAATCAAAGGGGGACACGGTGCCCCGGTGCCCTCCCCGTTCCGCCGCCTATGGAGTATGGTGGGACACCGACACGGCCGACACTGGGCCACTGGCGGATACAGAAAGGCGGTTTTCGACGCTGCGGGTGCATACCCGTAAGAATTTTACGGCATTGGGCATGGGGCATAGTGCATACTCTAAAAAGTTTCTCCAAATTCCAAAGACTCATCGGATTTCTATTCCAGCAGTGCTGTCACTGTGCCATTAAAACAGAGGTGGAGATCTCGGGGGTCGGGGCCGGGGGTCAGAACCCCCCCCCCCCCCCTGAAAACGAATTACTGCTAGGTATGTACCTAAGTCAATGGTAGGTACCTACCTAGTATCCAGCCCGCCTCCATCTGCCCAGCCTGGACTCCCCCCCCCCCCCCCCTGAAATTTTGACAGATCACCACCCCTGCATTAAAACAAACTTTTCCTAACGAAAGTTAAGTTTTCGTTTAGGGGAGAGTGGGGTGGGTTGTATCAGTTTTTACTCCGAGACCCATAACCTCGTAACTATCCGTGATAAATTTATTTCCATACTATCTCCTTCCTTGATTCTTCTGCTTTTTTGTCCGAAGTAACTTTTCCGCTACCTCTACCAGTTTTTCTTCTACGGTCTGCCGAATAGAACAATGTTTTTGATACAACTTGCCCCATGGCTTAGGTGAGTTGTATCACATGGTGGGGTAATTTGTATCACTATTTCACGTTTCAGGGAGTGTGCTTGCTACTGGTTTTGAACATAACAACAACATTAAATGGGGTTAATACAATGTATATGCTCAAAGGCTTCACTTTTATTAGACCAAACTTAGGTCAATCCGAACGAAACATCGAAACGATTAACGAACGAAACATCAACAGACTAGACGCAAAAGTGGCCCGTTAAGAGCAAAGAAGCCAACACATTGTTGTTCTGTCAGAGTTCAGATGCACACGTCCACGATCGAGATGTATTACCGGAAGAAGAACTCCTTACCGCAGCTTTGCCGTGTACAGAAATACAATTTCACAAATGGAAGAGACTACTAAATTCCTAGCTACATAGCACGACACAACACGTTCCCCTCCCACAAGGTTTGCCGCCTCATGTCGCAGTCTAAGCAATTTTCGTTCACACAGCGCCACCTAGTCATTAGCACAGCGCCACCTACGCGGATCGCACAGCACTGCACTTACTACGTTCCCTGCACACACAAAGTACTATCTACTTGAGTACGTGATCCTATCACGGACTGTAGCGGTTTGGTTCACGGCGCTCACGCATGCCCCGCCCCAGAGCACGTGGGGTTGGAGTTTGCGGTGGGGTAGGACTGGACGCGGTTAGGCGCGGTGGGATAGGATCGTGTCCCTGCTCCGGATACCAAATATCCTCACCGTCGTCGGTCGACTCCAATCCAGCCGTCTTCGCCGCAGCCGCTGCTAGACGCCGAGCGTGGACCTTTTGGCCGTCAGCCAGCCTATAGGTCACCGGCCCGAGCTGTGCCGTGATTCGGAGCGGAGGACCAAACTTCCGTTTCCAGCCGAATGGAGCCCTCACGCGCACCCGGTCTCCCAGCTTCCAGCTGGGCAGCTCTCCTGCTCGCTCATTGCTCCTGGCGAGGTACCGGTCCTGGTACGCCTGGAAATGTGATCTGATTTGCCCCCCGTCAACCCCCGAGGGGTGAGCGTCAGCTCCGCCCGGCACCCCCAGCTTGGTGCGCATATCACGGCCACGCATCGCCTTGAACGGAGACACCCCAGTCGCTGGATGGACTGTGGACCGATATGTCTGCAGGAATGCCCTGACGTACTGAGTCCGTGACTGTCCTGAGATCCGAGCAGACTCGATGGCGTCCTTCACCGTCCGGTTGAACCTCTCCACCAGTCCGCAGGTCTGTGGAGAGTAGGGTGAGCTGTGGACCAGCTTGATTCCCTGAGCTGAGCAGAACTCCTGGAACTGCTGTGAAGTAAATATTGACCCATTATCACATAACAGCTCCTGCGGAATGCCTTCTCTGCCAATCACCGCCTGAAGGAACTCGATCGCGGCGGATGACGTCACTTCGGACATGAACGCCACCTCCGGCCACCTGCTGAACCCGTCTACTAGCACCAGCCCGTAGCGTTCAGCTGCTGGTCCTTTCAGCGGTCCGATAGCGTCCAGGACCACCTTAGACCACGGGCCTGCCGGCATGGCTACCCGCTGGAGCGGCGGCCTGCACGGCTTGGCTGACTTCCCATGCAAGCTGCACAGCGCGCAGTTATGCAGGAGTGACTCAATCGCCGCGTCCATGCCCGGCCACCAGTAGCGCTCCCTGAGCCGCTGTTTGGTTCTCACCACCCCTGGATGGGTCTCGTGAGCCAGCTGCATGAGTCGGTCACGCAGAGCCACTGGGACAACGCACCTGTCGCCCCTGAACACCAGTTCACCCTGACACGAGAGTTCAGACCTCACCTGGAAGTACGGTCGCATTCCCTGGTCTGACTTCATCTGGCCACTCCAGCGTCCAGTCTGGAGGGCTTCCCGAACCTGCGTCAGCACCGCATCAGAACCTGAAGCATGGCGCAGTTCACTTTCAGTCACTGCACCTGTCTGATCTGAGATGACAGCAACCTCGACCGCATCATCATCATCCCAGTGGTCGTCAGTCACCGGCATGCGAGACAGACCATCTGCCACTGGGTTCTCCTGCGTCCGTATGTGCTCGATATCGAACGAGTAGTCGAGCAGCCGTGCTTCCCAACGAGCGATACGACGACCGACTCTGTTAGAACCTTTGAGACCAAACACACTCGTAAGTGCCTGGTTGTCCGTTCGGAGCGTGAACCGCCGTCCCCAAAGGAACGGACGCCACTTCTCGACCGCGTACACGCACCCCAACGCCTCCTTTTCAACTACTGAATAGTTAAGCTCGGCCTTCGAGAACTTTTTAGAAGTGTAGGCCACTACCACTTCTTCACCATCGGCTCTGAGCTGACTGAGGTAGGCACCACAGCCGACGTCTGAGGCATCAGTGGTCACCAGCGTGCGTAGAGCAGGGTCAAACAGTGCCAGACTACTTGAGTTGGCCACCTCCCCTTTCAGTTCCCTCACCGCCTTAGCCTCTGACTCACCCCATGACCAGTTCTCAGCAGCCAGTGCTTCTCTTAGCACGGCTGTCTTCTCAGTGTACTGAGGCACGAACCTGGCGTAGAAGCCCAGTGAGCCGAGGAGTGATCGGAGTTCCTTGTGGGATGCCGGATCTGGCATCTCCAGCAGCGGCCTGACCCGCTCTGGATCCACTGTCAGCTTGCCTGCCGACACCTTCAGCCCGAGGAAGCTGATCTCTGTCTGGGCCCTCAGACACTTCTCTTGGTTGACCTGCACCTGGTGTGCCTGGAAAACAGCTTCCACCTGCTTCAGTGCTTGGTCATGTTCATCCTTTGTGGCACCGTGAACAACCACATCATCAAGGTACACAAGCACCCCTGGGATCCCTTTCAGCATGTCCTCCATGATCCTCTGGAAGCACGGACCACTGGAGGCAAGGCCCATTGGCACCCGACAGTACCTGAACAAACCCTCATGGGTTATGAAAGCCGTCAAGTTTCTGGAGTCGGGATGCAGCTCCACCTGGTGGTAAGCATCCTTGAGGTCCAGGACGGTGTAGATGCTGCTACCCTGTAGGGCATGCAACAACTCGTCCATGTGTGGCAAGGGGTACCCATCTGTTACCACTGCCCTGTTCACCTGTCTGAGGTCTAGGCACAACCTCACCTTGCCAGTCCTCTTTCTGCCGACCACGATGGGCGACACCCACGGACTGGCCTGCACCCGTTCGATGATGCCCTCGGCCTCCATCTCTGCCAGTTTGCTTGACACTTCATCTCGGACTGAGAAGGGCAGCCTGCGCAGAGCCTGCTGGACTGGCCGAACGGTCGGATCGACTGTAACCCTGTGGACGTATCCGTCAATAGCAGGTTTGGATGGGCAGGTTTTTTGGTTCAGGGTGCACACTTCCCCATTGACAACATTTACCCCTAGCAACCCCATCAAATCCAGTCCCATGATCGGTGTTCCTTTGGGCACTACATACACTGGCACATGTCTACCTAGTTGAGTTACGTACACATCTGTCATGCCCAGCACATTCAGCTCCGAGCCCCCATAGCCACACAACTTTTTCTCAGGTGCACGAAGCTCCGTGTCCTGACCGAGCGCACTGTGAGGCACAAGTGTAACTGGTGAGCCTGTGTCTACCAGAAACTTGACACATGTTCCACCTAGCTCTACCTCTTTGGTCAGGCTCGTGCTCTTAGGGAGCTTTGAGTTGATTGACATTATGGACACTGTCCTGACTGACCTAGGACCTTTGCAGACACTGGCTAGGTGATCTTTCTTGCCACACTTATGACAGGTCTTACCCTTGGCAGGACACACTGGGTCACGAGGGTAATGGTCACCTGCCATACCACAGCAGAAGCACTTGAAGTCTGGCCCTGGTTGTCCTTTGGGT